GCGGCAGGAAGGGTGGGGGGTACCCATGTAAACACAGCCCGTAGTCGTTAGACCGTTGACCTCGCGTCCTTACAATGCCGGGAGGGAGCGATATGCCGGATTTTCTTACAGGTGTGGGGAATATATAGAAGCGGAAATCAACCCTTTAGATTATTGGTTTGATTTGGGCTGCTATACGGGGGGGGGGGGGGACCACGGCCACGCTCGCAATCCTTGGCCATTAGCACGATCAGACCGGCCAGGCAGCGCGGGCGCTAACGCGCTCACCTCCGTCCCGCTCGAGTCCGCCGAAACGCTCGCGCTCGCGGCGCCCCCGAAGGACGAGACGCTGGCGCTGACGCCCCAGGACGTGGAGGAGGACTGTGCGATGCTGATGCCCCCGTTCTCCGTGGTCTTGGTGAAGTTGGAAGCCATGGACTGCTCCGTGGAGTGCAGCACGGAGGCCTCGAAGCTCGCCGACGCGCCGGCCCTGCTCACGGCGAGACGGAGATGGAGGGGGGGGGGAGTGAGAGGGTCGCTGTTGACGGGCTGACCAGATGAGTTTTTCGTTTCTTGCGGAGGGGGAGGGGGAGCAGATGCAGTGAGAGGGTCGCAGTTGACAGGAGAACCGAAGGATTTTTTGTGTTGTGAGGAGTGGGAGGAGCGCGAGAAGTGAGTGGGGCACTGCTGACAGGCGGATCCAAGGGAGTTCTTCGTTTGTTTAGGGTGGAGGGGGGGGCTTCAAGTACCACTACCAACAACAATGCTCCGGTGCTCCAGCAGTAAGAGGCCACGCACGCAATCGAGAATCGTCATGCCACGCGACACGTAGTGCGCTGTTTTGTTTTCGCTTCGGCGGCCTATGTACAAAGAAACCCCTCCCCTTTCTATTTTGGCACCCTTGTGCAAAGTAGGAAGGAACGATTGGCCTTCGGTGATCGGGTCCTGCGGGAACAATGCTCTGTCCTCTCGAGGACAATGGCCTAACCGCCAAGGAATGCAAAACATGAACCCCCCCCCACAGACTCTTCCCTCATCGGTTCTCACATCTCGACGAAGGTGGGCTTCTTGAGGATGGGCGCGTAGGGCTTGAGGGTGACGTCGTTCTCATTGGGGAAGAAGTTCACGCCGTACAGCGCCATGCCGCCGCCCGCCGCAGCGACCAGCTCCTCGTTCGTGTCGAACGATCTGTCGCGGCAGCAGGCAGGTGGAGAGAGCGAGAGAGAGAGTGAGAGAGAGTGAGAGAGACAGAGAGAGACAGAGAGATAGAGAGAGAGAGAGAGACAGCCAGCCAGACAGACAGCCAGAGACAGAGACAGGCATAGAGTTACGGACAGAAGGAAGGGGGGGGGGAGGGAGAGACAGAGAGCAGCAGAGAGCCAAATGACCAGAACGGTAGCAGACGTCACATGGCGGAGGCAGAATAAGCTCGCTCGCTCTCCAGCAATTCTTCATCAGCAGAGTCGCGGTCTTCAGTCACGGAGCGCAAGAAGCGAGTATTTTCTTCTGCAGCATTGTAGCACTCGGGGCTTGAGGTGAGGGACGCAGCGCACGCGCTGCTGCTCCAATACCGCAGTACATCGCGACGGAACACCACGGCGATACAAACTACACAACTGTCGACGACCTGCATTATTAAGTTTTTTTGCCCTGTACCTGTACTGCATGTTGTAACTTCTCCATTGCACACGAGACTAGCCTAGTTGACTCACTTACTACACGGGGGACACCCCTCCCCCCCCCCCCCCCTCGCAAGGGGGGTTTCGCAGGACAACACGCGGGGCCCCGCAAGGCTTACAACACGGGGGCCAACCGCAGCACTATAACAGAGCTCTCACCCGCATAGCGGGTCGTCGTCCTCCTCTTGATCCGCAGGCACCCCCTTCTTGTTGGACACCATGGCCATGAGGGCCGACTTCACCTCGGCCTCGCTCTTTCCCGGCACCTTTTTTTGCCCGGAGGAGGAGGAAACGGAATGTCACGTGCCACATTTGGCCGAAACACAAAATCAAACGTACGATCGACAGCCACAACGCGTCCGTCCGCACGGAGTGGCTCAGACGCGCTACGCGTGTGTGCGTGTTTGCGCTTAGCGAACCGATCGTGCCCCGCCCGCAAACGCGCTACGCTAGCTGGTTGACTCGACACAGCGGCATAATCAGCAACAACTCGACGTTCTATGCTCCCTGCTTCCGGCCGGCTTGATTTTTCAGCAGGTCTGGCACGCGAGTAGCACGGAGTCGACAACGACGGCTTCCTTCAGGGTTTGGAGTCTCGAAAGCGTCCCCGGACGCGCGCAGTGGCTTTTGCAGGCACTAGCCCCCACGCGAATCGAGTCAGTCAGGCGGAGGAACTTACTGCTGTTCTTCTTCGTTGCTGTCGCAGTTCTGGCCTCTATCGATTCCCTTGTCTTCGGTACACTTCCAAGGGCAAAACAAATAATTGTTGAGGCCACACAAGCCAGCCCTAACACGAGCCTCAAACGAGCGCAGAGAAGGGTCAAACCACACGTTCAAGAAGCAACACATCCCCGAACAGTAAGCTCGGAGAAGACAGAACGAAGAGAAGGGCAGGCGCGAAGACACCGCAGAAGGTGGAGCGGGAGCCCCGTCCTTCCCCTCTTCGAGTTAGCTGAAAGACAGGGGGTCAGGGCGCTGCGTATTCCCTCAATAGCCGCCTCGAAGAGACAAGAGAGGGACGAGCCGGCGGACGGACGGATGGACGGACGGACAAGCCTTGTTTTCGTGGCCCTAGTGTACAGCTACACCACGAAGACACGCGGGGCGCCGCGACACCCGACAAGTGGGCGAGTGGACGGTGTTGTCGTCGAACCTTCGAGCCCAAACACACACACGCACACTGGCGTCATTCATACAGTACATACTTGCCAGCCGGATAGCGCGGTCGATGCCAAAAACGGAAACACACAAAACACACACACAGAGCACACGGAGGCTGCCGTCTTTTCATTGGTCAGCCGGTTACCGCGGTCGATGCTAAAAACAAAAACACACACACACACACACACACACACACACACCTCACGCGTCGACACACAAGAACACAAAAAATATATATCGCATGCACCACTTGCTTGCTGCCGTGCCCGCAACAGCAAACCCACCCACCCACCCACCTTGAGCTTGGTCTGGAACGATGTGATGTTGGACTCGGTCAGCTTCGAGGAGGTCAGGATGCCCTCGCTCTCGAGCTGCCCCGCGGCGTCAAGGCCCAGGCCGAAGTCCAGGGCCTGCTTCCTGATCGGGGGGGCGTCCGAACCCACGGCGTACAGGGCCTCCAGGACGGCCACCTCGCCCCTCGATAGGGCGGGCGGCTTTCGCACGACCGGCGGGAGGACGGCCGTCATCCCCGCCGCCGCCGCCGCCGCCTCGGCCGCCGTCGCGGGTGTTTTCCCGTTCTTCGACTTCTGTAGTTGAAGGGAGAAAAAAGCGCGGCAAGCAAGCGCCGCCGCCGTCCCCGCCGGAGGGACGAAACAAGAACAAGAACAAGAACAAGAACAACAAGAACAACCAGGAACGTCAGAAAACCGGTAGACCATAGGCGCGACTATTATTTGCTTTCCGGGGACGGGCGACCGGCTACGCTAGCTCGGCGGGGATGATGATGTGGCACGCTTTTGTGCTGTCGAGTGTTTCTCCTGCCCCCCCCCCCACCCCCCCGGCGTCGGCGTGGTGTCTACAACCGGTTGGCGAAAAGCTTTTGTTGGAAGAAGCCGTCGGGATCTACCAAGTAGTTCAAGGTCGATACGAGCGCTGACCTTGGGGACGTGTCATTCTGAGTAGAACATAGAAACGAGCGTTCCGCCGGAACCCGGTCGCACCGGTGCGCTAAGGGCGACGGCTCTATCTCTCTCTCTCTTCCTTCTTCCCTCCCTCTCTCTCTCTGTCTTTGTTCCCCCCCCCTCCCCCCCCC